TATTTGATTTACTAATTTGATAATCATCCTAAAGTGACTTGTCAAACCCTACTCTTTGAACAACAAAATCATCTAATAGGCTATCCTCTAGTTCTCATAGATTATTATTATATGCGTCTAACTTAGATGTTTATTTTGGAATAACAAATTCCCACAGGATAAGTAAATTTATTGATAATAAAGGGTTTGCATCTTGTAGATCATCACTTATTATAGATAAGAGTAACTCTACAGCACAACATAATAATAGTGTATCTATTACATTGAGTGAATTTTCTATTTCTTCAATTACTGCACCAACTACTCCTGAATCTTCTTTAACTTCTTTATATATTGATGATGAAAAATAACAATCTAATACTTCTATTAAAAATAATATTAAACCAAAAATAGACAATAATAGTCAGAATAAAAATATTATACAATCAAAAGCAAGGTTATTAATTCCTCCTCTATCTGTGACTAGAAAAGCAAATACAGAAATGGCTAAGGCAAGATCAAGAAGTATAATTGGTGATATTTTTTCAGAACCCACTGCAAAGTTAAAAAAAACAAGTGTTTAAAAGAATGTTAATAGTTGCAGACAGTGAACATTAAAATATATTATTATCTTGATGCACTGCTAGTTAAAGAACCTGGGACCTAATACAAAATACTCAGCAAAATTTTTGCAAAACTCTGTAGTTTCGTGGTTCAAGCCCAGATATTTTATATAGTTATATAAGTCCTACAATACTATATAAAATAAGCAATTTAATAAATTATAAGGGGAGTAAGATATTCTGGCATACTTAAGCTATGCTGCAAATTATAACTTTAAAAATTAATATTAATTTCTAAAACTTTTAAACAAACTAATTAAATGCTTGGCTATCCACTACTAAAAAAAAAGGAAATTATTACTAAAAAAAATTACTTATCGTGACTATTTTAAAAGTGATTTTTAACCGTAATTTTATTAGGTAGGGGGATTGTGACGTACTATATATATAGTAATATCTACATATTGTATAAACTATAATTGGTATTTAATCAAATAATACAAATAATAAATTAATAATAAAGCAGATTCTTAAGAGATGCTGGACGTGCCAACTACACTTTAGTTAATTTTTAGAATTTTTTTTATTAAAGTTGCTTGAATTTTGTGGCCAAGAGTTCTAATTAAAGTAATTTTAACACCATTAGATTCATCTTGATAAGGTAAATTAAAATCATTTGTTTCTAATTATTGTATTATAAGAAATTTTAAAAAAATTTCAGTACACCACATTATCTTTTGCACCAGAATACCCTACTCTTTCTTATAAATTTTAGATTAATATATATTTTTTTTATTTAAAAGTATTATATGTATATGTTGTACCCCGTATTGGAATCTGCCCAATCTGAAATTTGGCTATCCCAATTTAGAATTGGAGTAACCCAATTTTAGAATTCTTATGTGGGTTATCTGAATCAAGAATTTGGTACATATCAATTATATATTGGCATATAAATATTACATCAACCCAAGCACATTTAGTTGTTCTATTTTTTTTTTTCAGTAAAGCTACCTTTGTTAAAAATGTATTATACAATCTTTGAACAATGTAATTAATTACTGAATTAAATCTTAATTATCAAATC